AAATTTTGGAGAACGCGGAATGTCATCGTCGATGCTCAAGATTTCAGACTTAGGTCTACAAACAGCAGCAGTTTCGATCTTGTAACCTCTGTTTGCATCATCTACAAACTGAACTAGGGCATACTCCAAAAACAAACTATGTTGTACTCAAAACAAAGAACAACTTTTATTAAAGGATCAAGGTCTGGATCAGCTCGGTTTGCAAGATATAAAGCTCCAAAATAGGGTACCCGCAGTTCAAACTCAGTTAGGACTTAGCCAAATTCCTGGGTTCCAAAATAACACTGTATTGAATCTTGTGAGTTCTATTTGACTAGGTTAGAGGCCAAACTAACTCTTGACCATTAAACAAAGTTTGTTCTACACAAGATGAACTACAACTTTTGTTAAAGGTGAAACCTCATAACTGGTACAGAACCTACTGTTCTACTTTGACCAAAATAGGATCACGATGAAGCTTAAATTATCCTTTTTGATCCATTGGAGCATTTTCTGGCCACCTGCTCAACATGAACCCTTCATAATATTTGTTCATGAGTGCAAGTAGAGTTGTTTGAGCAAGGTACCAAAGTTTAGTTGACTTCATAGGTTTCCATCCACTTGATAAAGCAATTCATGCAAAGATATGACTTATCATTTCATGTGACTTTTTGATTCCAAACTTCATGAAACTTTTCCATGGGTCTAGATGGATGCATGTGGATGTAATGTACATGGAATAAGCATGTTTAACATTACTCTTGCATAATCTTAACAAGGGTCCATATGTAAGCAATTGTGCGTGGCCCAAGTTTAAGTTGGAGCTCCATCATGTAGATTTGATCTTGACACCTTGATTACCACTTGACATGTCATGTTTGAGCTCAAACCTATTGCTTAACTGGTGATAAACACCTGGGGTGTTACAATCAGCGTGGAGGGGCTCGCCGTGGCCGAGACAGGGTCGGGGCTTGGCGTGGCCGCGGCCGAGGACGAGGCGCAGAGAGCGACGAAGTATGGATGCGGCTTCGGCGGTTCGTCGTGGACACGGTGCTTGGGGACGGGCGAAGCCTGACGCGGTCGCGGCTCCACCGGTGGTCCCCGCGGACGCGTCGTGGCGAGGATGGCGCCTCGGGCTCAGCCTCGGGTCTGGGTCGGCGTTCGTCACAGCGCAGGTGCGCTGCCCCTGAGGCAAAGCGGGCTTGGTGCCGAGGTCGCGACGGCGTCCCCGTGCGTGGGCACGACGATGACGGCTTGGGCGCGGGGGCGCAGTGTGGCTGCTCGAAGGCTCCGACGGCGCGGTGCTGCGGGGCTCGGGGGCGGAGCAGTGGGAGAAGAAGGCAGCGTGGATGGGGAATGGCGAAGGAGCGGCGGCTTGGAGGAAGAAGAAGAGGGGTGGCGCACTGGGAGAAGAAGAAAATGGCGGCGGCTGCTAGGAGGAGCGTCTGCGGCGACGTCGGGGGGGGGGTACTTGTAGCGCGCCAGTTAGGGCAGCTAGGGGTCACGGATGGCGGCGATTCTCAGGGTCCGCGCTTCCTGCCCACGCGGCGTGCATCGAGTGGGGGTGCGGAGAGAGCCGAGGCACGGGGCTTGGTGTTGCGCGTACGCGAGTTCGCAGCGGGCAAGCGGCGGCGGCGTGGGAGCGGGTCACGGCGCGCTTGGCCTAGGGTTCCGGAGGGGGCGTGCGGTGCGCGCGCAGGGCGCATGCGCGCGTGTCCGAGTGTGCGGCGGTGGCTGGGAGCGGCTGAGGAGTCTAGAGGCCAGGGCGCTGCCCTAGGGTTGGCAAGGGCGCCGTCTTGCGGTTGGGCCAAGGCCGGTTGGTGCGGGGGCGATGCGGCTGCTGGCCAGGCTGGGCCGCAGCTTGCTGGGCCGGCCAGCTGGCTGCGCCGGTTGGGCCAAGGTGCTGGCGGGGCAGGCTGGGCCGAGGCCAAGGACGAGCAGACGGGCCGAAGGGGAGGAGCTAGGCCAGGCTGGCTGCTGCGCCAGTTGGGCCAAGGGAAAGGGGATGGTGGGCTTGGAGGTATAAAAGGAAAATGATTTTTCCTTTTATTGTTTCAAGGAATTTGAAATGAATTTAAAAGAGATCACGTGGAATATAAAGAGAAGTTCAAGTACAACACAATGAATTTCAAGATGAGTTCAAAAATAATTAGAGGTGTGATTTTTATGATTTCGGATCAGATGAGTTCAAAAGGAATGTGATGGGGATTTATGAGATATTTCAAAAAGGAAATTAAGAGGGGTTACTACGGATTGTGCACTCCGACTCGAAACCCAAAACCAGATAAAGAACTCCGGTAAGCTCCTACAAGCAACACTATATGTATGCGACAATTTATTTATAAATTATTCTTTGTTTGACCTAGAATCTACATGCTTCACATATTACATGAAAAATTTTAAAAGTTCGTATTTTTTGCTTCTCAAAAACCCGGGTTGTTACACATTCAGTCGTTCAGTATTGGATCTTGTGACCGTCAGTAAATCTCCTGTCGTCAGAGAGCCCTTGCCTTTCCCAAAGAGAAGAACTCAAGGCTTCTGGTCTCGGGAAACGCCGCTGCGAAAATTCAGGGCAAGTCTGGTTGCGGCGAGAACGTGAGGTTCCGGTGAGCACAAGCATCCCCGGTGGTAGATGCGGCAAGTGAAAGCAGAGGTGATTCTCGTCGCCACCCATGCTCGCTCAACGAACCTGAGGCAACAACACACGCACGGGAGAAACGTCGCTCCGGCGCGGCCGATGCGATGTGATGTTTACCCAATGATGATTGGTGCTTACGGAGACACTAGTGGTCCAGTTGCACAGTCGCAGTCACAGCCTCCCTCTCCTTGTCTGGTCAGGTGTGCCTCTGCAAGAGACATGGTAACATGCCAATAGCTCAGCCCCTCCCTGAGAAAATTGGTGGGGCCCAGTGTCAGCCATCCAGATGTATACGCCATGCCATGTCAGCCAGATCTACACAGTCGTTTCTGGGGGAGGAGATGCATAATCACACAGCTAATTTGTATACCACTGTTCGAACCTCTGTCAACCTGTGATGGACATGTCGGATCCTTTTGCCCTTCTGGATAAGCATCTACTACCAAGCGTGCGTGCGTGCACAAAAACACGTTCGTAGCTGTGCAGAGTACCTGCACCATGGAAAGCAACGTTTAACGCTTCGAATAATTCAGCTAGCAAACGTGGTTTCAGGCTTTCAGCTACGCAAGTGTACCATCAGTGTGCACATCAGCACATGTGGATACAGGGGATTTCAGGTGTGTAGACATGTAGTGACCTAACAACTGGTACTAGTATTTTTTTTTTCCTCTAAGGCTGTCTCCAGCAGAAGATTTATTGCGGAACCCAAACCCAAAATGAATTTTTAACATAATACCTGTAGCCTCTAACAGAGTAACTATACAGAAGACCCATTTTGAGTGTCAGGAGAGGCATAACCCAAATTTGAGTATCATCTCTCTCCTGGAGACCCACTTGCAGAAAGAGGTGTCTTTTATGTCTTGTTGTTGGAGAAGACCAAAAATATGTATTGAACCATTTGTCTATAGCACTACCTAAAGAATGAATATGTCTTGTATTTTAGGTCGGCGGTCGTTGAAGACAGTCTGACAACTAGTACTCCATTGTTATCAGGTAAAAGAAAAAAGTGGTAGGATTGGAAGTACTGCTACTAAACTTTGGTTATTAGTGCTATGTCGCTACATGCCCCGTCTCTCGGGCCTGTTCAGCTGATATTAAAGATGATTGATAAGTTAGCTGAAGCTATTTTATTGTGAGAGAAAAATACTTAGGTGATAACTTCAAGCGAACCGGACTCGTGGAGACGGTCGTCGGACATTCAAAGCGAACAGGGAAAATAGACTGTGCCACTACTGTGTGGCATGCGTTGTCGCTCCACAAGAGCCTTTGGACGCAAGCAAAGCAAGCGCCGAGCAGGCAGCGGTTGCCCGATTGGACACTGGCACACTGCTGCATGCTTGAAGAACGGCACCGAGTTCTACCTCGCATTTACTTCACATTAACCATCCGGACGCCTTTGCCTGGATTGCAGTTGCCACCAAACGAAAGCGCGAGCCAACGAAGAACACGAACGGGGAGACAGAGCGAGCAACGCCCCCTGCTGCGATTTCTTTCTGTGTGATCTGAAGAAAGAAAAAGGAAAAGCGACAAGGACAGCGCAGGACAAGAGAAAGAGAGACGGTCGTCAGAGAGCAGCTAGCAAGCAAAGCATGGGAGTGAGGTAGCAGCAGCAGGACAGCGCCATGACAAAGGGACCAAGCGAGCGAGCATGGAGCTCGTCTAGTACCGTCCAACACGAGCCCGGCACCGGGCGACCTCCCTCTTGGCCTGGCTTGCCAAGATGTCGCCAACCCCCGGCCCTTTTACTCCCATCATGCCAAATCGCGTGTCACGGAAACCCCTTCGCGCTGCAAAAATCATGATCCCAGTCCCACGCAGGCTCCCAGCCATTGATCGACGGCGAGAGGAAGAAGAGGACACGAGCGCTGCGCCAAAAGCACTTTAAACCCGCGGCGACAAATCTCTGCGCTGGAACAGACGAACAGCGGGGGTGAGCAGCCGTGACCGTGAATCTCGCTCGCTGTCACGGGGAGCCGTCCGGGCGATCGGAGCCGTGCACGGGGGGACACGCACGGCTGATCTGGGACTGGGAGGCTTTGTTGGTCTTCTGGTGTCCTCTGCAAAGTGCACGAGAGCAGAAGCAAAGAAGGCCAAGGTACATTGCATGCAGAGCGATGCGATTCCAAGAGACGGGGAGGAGCTGTTTGAATGGACAACCGAATGCAAAATGTTTCTATACCATTTCAAGATTCAAACCCCAAAAAAAAAATAGGCAGCGGTTTTTGTACTGATTTTTACACGAGGGCTCCATTCCTGTTGCCATCCACACCTGACACTCCGGAAAAGTAGAGTCTCAAAACAATGCTAAAGAAGCCTAGCGATTAGCGATGGGGGTTAACGGTCACGGTGGTCGGTTAGCGCGATCCGGAGTCAGCGGCAGCGGCTAGACCTTGTAGATGATGAGGAAGCAGGGGAGCACGGCGCGGCTGTCGAGGACCACCAGCTCGCCGTTGCCCATGTCCACGGAGTCGTAGGCGGTCGCGGCGGAGCCGTGGGCGTGGCGCGGGGACGGGTGGTTGGCGGGGCAGACGCGGCCGGCGATGACGCGGCACACCAGCATCGCCCTTCGCCCAGTGGTGGCAGCGCCGCCGTCGGCGGCGGCGCTGGCGTGCGCGGCGCCGCTGCAGGCGAACGTGCGCACGGCGGAGACAGAGGCGCCGAGGCGGCAGGTGGCGACGCCCGCGCCGAACACCCCGCCGGGCGCGTCGGCGGGGGCGTGGCACTGGAACCGCATCATCTCGTTGCCGTCGGCGCCGCACCGCGCCGCGGCGCCGTGCGCGCGGGCCGCCGCCCTGGCCTCCTCGAACCGCGCCACCGCGCGCGACGCGCTGTGCACGCGGAACAGCGCCTCCACCGACGGCTCCGGCGCCACCGCGCCCGCGCCTGCGCCTGCGCCTCCTCCTCCTCCTCCCCACCCGGACGCGAAGATGAGCTCCACGACCCGCCGCGACGAGTGGCCCTGTGGCAGCTCCGCCATCGTGAGGAACGCCGAGGTCACGGGCTGCGCCGGCGCCGGCGACGGCATGAACAGCGCCCCTGCGGCGGCCGCGTCCTTCGCCTTCGCCATCGGCTTGGGCTTCTTCTTGGGCCGCGGACGCGGCTCCCGCGCTTCCCTCCGCCTCTCCCGCTCCCTCCCCATCTTCTTCCTCCTGGCCTGCTGGGCGTACGCCACGGCGTCCATCACGTCCGCTGCCGCCGCCGTGGCGCAGGAGAAGGGCAGAGGTGGCGGCGGCTTCTTGGCCGGGGGCGGCGCGATGGCGGCGTCGGTGACGGCGTAGGAGGACCTGCAGCTGAGCGAGCGCACCCACGCCGTCACCATTGTCCGTCGCCCCAGCAGCTCCAGCTCCAGCTCCTGTGGTTGGCCTTGGCCTTCGGGGGTGGGTGGCGGTGGACTGGTGGTGGCCGGCAGACGGCTGGCTCGTCTCCGGGTGTTATTATGGCTGCGGATTTATTCGCAACCCTGCCGGTGGGGCGCCGTGTCGCTGACAATACTGTTACGCTGCACTTGTTGCACCGGCTGACTAGACTACCCCGCCTCTAATATCCGTCAGTGACAGGTGGGGACATCCTTTTCGGTCCAGGATGTCAGTGACAGTAGTCAGCCGTGATGGGAGTAGCTCCGGTTTTACACGGCAGGTTTGTGCTGGATTCGGAATTTTGATGTGATTTGGCTAACCTTTTTGAATTTTGGTTCCATTTGGGATCATGATTTGTTTAGGGGCCCATTTGGGGGGTGGACAGGTTGAGATCAGGGGTGGGAATGATCATTCGGATTTGGAGCCCTGCATCTGCATGCCTCCCTGCTGTGCTGCCCGGCTGCCCTCCTCCTAGAATCCGTCCCCCACCACTTTCGCTGCTGTGTTTTTTTTTTTTTTTGTCTCTTTTTCAGCCTTTCTTTTCTCCTTTTATGATTTCTGCTCTTTTTTAGAGGAGCTGCTGTGGTGCAAGATCTGCAGCATTGATCAGTCTCTCTTTTTTTTCTCTCTCTCTCTACGATCTAGTACGACTGTGTTCGTGCGGTTTGATGTGGCACGCGTCGGTGAAATTTGTCGGCGTGTGCATATATCTGATTTCTAGGTGTCTACAAAAAGAGACGTCTCTCTTGTGTTTTTGGGCACCCCTTTCGGTCTTGCTAGTAGTGGACCCTTTTCGTGCTCTTGCCGCTGATACAACTTGAGTGAGGGAGCGCAGTCGCAGAGGCAAGGAAATAAACTTTTGAATTCAAACTGTTGTGGAGCGGAGCGCAAGCGCAACTACCAGGAATTTATGTATTCTGCTGCTGCATCGGCGCAAGCTAGTATTTTGTTCACTGTTGGCGTTTTTCTTCAGTCGTTTTGTTGCATCAACGTGTGTCTTCTAGCACCATGGATCTGGTGGGACGATATGGCAATGCTCAACTCATATTTGAGTATGCATTTCTAATAGTAGAAGAAATAAAACTTGGTCTCCGTCATCAATTATTCATGTGGGTTTGTGCATATGGAGTGATTCCACGACCACGAGCGGCAGCTGACCAAGAGGAAACAGGCACATTTTAGGCAGAATGTCAGCAGCACAACAGCCACAGGAATGGTTAGCACGTGTGGTGTGGACGACGCTGACCAACTCAAAAACAAATCCCGCGAAACCGTCGTTTTGTTCGTTCCGGGAACATTCGCAGCCAGCCAGCCAGCAACGCTAACTACACGTACAGTACGCGCAGTAGCTAGGTCTAGGTCCAGACGACAAGATTGCTTGCAAGCAAACTAGAAAGTATAATCTCACTGCATTTTGTTAATCCCATAAGATCAGTTGATGCAGATCGGATTCCTCTCGAACTCGTTTTTTATTGACAATGCGCCAACCGCTGAAGAGAGAGCATGATCGGTACTCAGTAGTGAAGAAATAATTAGGTTATCGGTGGCTCGCGTAGTTGACAAATGTAGCTTGCATGCATGTGTAACGTGTTGCATCAGAAATATACTCCTCCTAAACTGTTGCGCGTGGGCCGGTGGGCGTGACTTGGCAAACTTCCCTTGCACAAGAAGAGACAAAAGCCTGGAATCTCTGAACCGATGGACGACAGCCTAACGCAGGTAGGCGCAGCACAAGCAACACATCTACTCCTACACCATCGCATTCCAGCGAGCCCAGCCGACATACGCATTATATATATATATATATATATATATATATATATATATATATATATATATATATATATATATATATATATATATATATATATATAGTGCATTTATATATTCTCGGGAATAGTTACTCCCATAATCAATAAATCACGTTGCACATGTGTACATACTCATTTATCAGCTGTAGTACGTTGACATACTAATATTAAGATATTTCGGATCTTTACTATGTAAAAAAAAAATTAAAAGAGCACATATTTTTTAATATATTATATAATACTATAATAGTAGCATATAAAATAAGTATAACCATATACTCTAAATATACATACATATTTGTCATACATAGTACTCTAGATGGTCTAGTACGATGATATACTCCATCTAATACACTTCGTCGGGCCATATACGTCCTAAATCTAGAGATATACACATGGAAGGAGGAAATAATTTCCATATATATATATATATGAACAATCATCGCATTTGTTGCGTGATCTTGCTAGCGTTTCCCAGCACGCAGAGAGGCGCCATCGCAATCTGCCACCCGAGGGCCGAGGCCTCACTCTGTCAGAGCCGCGAAACCTGACCGGGTGATGATGGCGTGCGTCGTATCGATCCACGACCTGCGTCTGCGTGTGTGCGTGCCGAGCTAGCTAGAGAACCCCGGCCGATCGATCATTCCCGAATCCATGCGTCCATCCACCTCGATCCGTTGCCCCAAAAACGGATCATTGCGGCATCAAGGGGCTCAAGTCGGATCCGCGTCCGACTCAGCATGCATTTGAAAACTGAAACCATGCAATGCACCTCTCGCCTCTGCCCTCTGGGTACGTGTCTCCATCGTTGGTGCTTTCAGCCAATTGACGCCCATGCCTGATGGCTCCGAAACCGAAAGGGACGCTCCAACTCGACGCACCTAACGTGATCACTCTGATTCGGGGTCGAGACGCTAATCAGATCGTTTAGTGTCTGGTCAGATCAAATAGGTTATTAGCAACTGATGGTTGATAGCAAGCCCTAGCCAGAGTCTTGCTGCTGCTCCTTAGTCCTTGCCCGGAAGATATGGCAATTGCCTGATGCACAAGGCAGAGCAGTGCACTGGCCACCTAACCAGAGTTACCAAGCTGGGAAGTGATTGGTTGGGAGAGACGAGACAGAGGAAAATATAGATGCATGCATGAAGTGTTAGATGAGCTTGCTGCAGTTGCACCCAACAACCAACTCGATCGGTCACAGCACAGGACGATGCCAGCCATTGTTAGCGTTCTGCGACACTTCACAAGCTACGTGATGGTTCTACACGCCTTTGCTTTTGCTTGGCATCCAAGAGATTAAACTAGCAGCAGCAACCGCATAGCATATAATACTAGATCGATCAGCTTCCATGCATGGAGTATAGAATGGACGCTGTCACTGTGCTTCCAAGTCTTTTTGGTAGTTGCACTGGGCGCCTCCGATCGTCTGCTGTGTGTGATCGTCCGGTCGACAAGGCGGCTTACTTTCGGTTTCAGTGGGAGGCAAACACACGAAATGCAGACAAGCAAGAACATGGAACGTCCTTGCTTTTAGAGCAAAACCCTGTGGTGTTTTGCAGAGGTGGTTGTTGAATCACTCGCGTCGATCGGTCAGGTAAATGGAAGACAAGACGCACCCATCCGTCGCCGGTCAACGGCAAGTGCTTCCTTGCTTGCTTGGTTCTCTACGGTAGGAGTCGGTAGATATGGGGCGGTGAAAGGAAAGGAACGAGGAGGGAAAAGGCTGGCAGCTCCATCCCGCCGATCAACTCCATCCACTACCACTAGTGCTAGTGCAGTCCGCAGTCGCACAATGGCACCAACTTTTGCATTTTTGGCAGAAGGAGCAAAAGGCTAGAGGGATGGGAATATTCAAAGAACGATAATAAAAATACAAAAGTGCGTGCCGGCGGTCGGGGGATTGATAGAGAGATGGCAACAAAAGCAGCGCCACAACCAACAAGAGACGATGAGAGATCGAGTGCAGAGCCAGAGGAGAGGCAGCGGCCGGCGGCCGGCGGCCGCCAGAGGAGTGAACGACGCGTGAGAGTTCGGGAGAGTAGCAAGCAGCAACCCGCAGTGGCGCAGTGGACTGCTCCAGCGTGCAGCGCAATGCAGTAGCGGGGCCAGGGGCGACGCCACATTGCCACTGCAGGTAAAGACGGGCGTGAAATTTCGTGCCACGCCGCACTGTCTCGTTTGGTTGGAGACTGCAGATGCACCCAGCAGCGGGATGGAGACGGGTTTTTGCTTGGGTCCAGTTTAGTTGAAAAAAATTTACAAAATTTTTTAAGATTTTCCGTCACATCGAATCTTTAATACATGTATGAAGCATTAAATATAAATAAAAAAATAAAACTAATTACACAGTTTAGACGAAATCAACGAGACGAATCTTTTAAGCCTAATTAGATTATGATTGAACACTAATTGCTAAATAAGAACGAAAACTGCTATAATGCTATTTTGCCAAAATTTTTGGCACAAGGCCTTGGTTTGGGTGTGTACGGTAGCGCAGCGATTTCTGAGGAGGGCAGGCCAGGGCAGGACGGACGACCGCCGTCGGTGGCGGGGGGCCTCGTCCCGCCGGCACGCGTACGAACGAACCGGGTGGCATGGTGCACCTGCCTCCTGCCTTGGAGTCCGTGGCGACCAACTTTTGGAGTGTTTTCTCGTTGGCTGGCCCGTCCGGTACGGTGCACCTAAAGTTGCCTGCTGCATTGGCCAAAAAAGGAAGCAAATATGATTGCACGTTGTTAATGGCGTGCTTAGGGACGTCCTTGCTGCAGGACTTATGGCTGCTGCGATGGATTTATACGATTAATTTGTTATGAGAAAATAATACTATTCTATGGCTAAAAAAGTAGAGTTAATTTTAGCTCTCAGTCGAACGGGGCCTTTGACTCCTTGTCAAGTGGGGTAATTGTACAAACATATTGTATGCGTTTTAATTAAGGAGACGTACGCACGCAGAGCACCCATGCATATATCTCCATGGGCCGTACTACGTGCATTACTGTGCGAACTAAGCAGGGCTCCACTCCTCTTCCTCCTGCGCACCTGACCATGCAATAGGCCAGTTTGCTTGCTGCTTGCCAGGCAACTTTGCATCTAGGCAAGGATGTGAACCCAGGATAGCAAAATCTAACGTACAAGAATTCTTGCTTTGATGA